TAAATTAACCCTCCTACTGCAGGAAAGCCCTCCCCTCCCTGGCACCTCACAATTTTCTCCTTGGACATACTTTTCCAGGACATCTTCCTCATTGAGCCAGGCAACTAGCAGAGCAGAGGGTGGGGAAACTCCCAAGTGCTTCCCAGGTTGAGCAAGAATGGACATCACCCACATCACACTGGCAAACAGCCACTGGTCCTCCCCACAGCCGAGAAGCTCCCATCCCCTCCCCTGCATCCTGCTGGAATCACTTGAAGAAATCACAGTGAGAGGGAGGAGCCACACGCTAGGACAGATGTTCCTAACCCTAACCTTCCTGGTGCAAACGCTTGTCTCCTCTGGGAGGGGACCCTAGCTCTGATGATTGCAGTTTTAGACATGGATCTTTTATTTAAGTGCCCTCAGGCTCAGGCGTGTCCAACTCTCTGTCACCCCATGGACTGTAGTCCACCAGGCTCCTCTGTCCATGGAACTCTCCACGCAAGAGTATTGGAGAGGGTTGTCATTTCCTATTCCAGGGGATCTTCCCGACTCAGGGGTCGAACCAGTGTCTCCTTCATTGGCAGGTGGATTCCTCACCACTGAGCTGCCTGGGAAGCAAGCCCCCCATATGTGTGTGTGTGTATGTGTGTGTGTGTGTGCATGTACGCATGCGCTAAGTTGTTTCAGTCTTATCCGACTCTGCAATCCTGTGGACCGCAGCCTGCCAGGCTCCTCTGTGCATGGGATTCTCCAGACAAGAATGCTGGAGTGGGTTGCCATGCCCTCCTCCAGGCGATCTTCCCGACCCAGGGATTGAACCCATGTCTCTTACATCTGCTGCATTGGCAGGCAGTTTTTTTTTACCACTAACAACACCAGGGAAGCATACATACTTATATGTATGTGTGTGTATATATATATGCACATACATACACACACACACATATATAGTTGATTATTAAAGAGCTTTTAAAATACAGAACTCTTTCCGCAATTAAGAGAACACTTTGTATTCTAACAAGTGATGTTCAGCTCTAGCTGAAGGGAGTTGGAGGCATCAGAGCCCTCCAGCCAGCACCCCAACACTTATATCCCGACAGCCCTGAAGCAGGCTTTGGGGTGGCTCTAATACCCCATAAAGCAGCTTGGAAACTACTGCCCCTAAACCATCATGAAATGTAGAACGGGGTCTCAAACACCAGGTTGTGGATTCTGAATGCTGGTGCCAAGGGTAAAGGACCAATAGCCAGTGGGGAATCAGGGGGTTGACAAAACACAGTGAAAACTAGTGATCAGAAAAGAAAAATAGAACTATTTTCTCCTGTTTACACTCGGAATAGTTTAAACCCTTCAGTAAGTCCACATACGCTCGGGATTAATTGCCAGATCGTGGGCCAGGGTTGTGAAGTCAGTTGCAAATACACAGTTTGCTCCCCAAGACTGAGTTGTGCAAACAGACAGACAGCTGCTGGGTTTTCCAAGTTAACAAAAGCAAGGAGAGCAGGATGGAATGTGATTTCCTACGGGAAAGAAAAACAAAGATTATGAAACTTCCAAGGCTATTCACGGGGCGAGGGGCGGGAGGGTGGGGGTGGGGAGGGGTATGGAAGAGAAGAAATGGGGGAGCGAGCTCCTCCCTCAGAAACTTAGAAACATCAGGGGAAGCAAAAGGAAGCTGCCAGACTCTGACAGTAAGAGATCGCTCTGTGCTAGAAAAACAGCAACAAAAGAAAAACTAGGAAGCTGAGGTCTATTTACCAGAATGAAATATGAAAACAATTTCTATCCCATCTAGCCATAAAAGGGCTGGTTTAGAAATACTAAAGCACAGAAATTAACAGCCTGGGAAATAGATGGGTAAACAGTGGAAACAGTGTCAGACTTTATTTTTCTGGGCTCCAAAATCACTGCAAATAGTGATTGCAGCCATGAAATTAAAAGACGCTTACTCCTTGGAAGGAAAGTTATGACCAACCTAGAGAGCATATTAAAAAGCAGAGACATTACTTTGCCAACAAAGGTCCATCTAGTCAAGGCTATGATTTTTCCAGTGGTCATGTATGGATGTGAGAGTTGGACTGTGAAGAAAGCTGAGCGCCGAAGAATTGATGCTTTTGAACTGTGGTGTTGGAGAAGACTCTTGAGAGCCCCTTGGACTACAAGGAGATCCAGCCAGTCCATCCTAAAGGAGATCAGTCCTGGGTATTCGTTGGAAGGACTGATGCTGAAGCTGAAACTCCAATACTTTGGCCACCTCATGCGAAGAGTTGACTCATTGGAAAAGACCCTGATGCTTGGAGGGATTGGGGGCAGGAGGAGAAGGGGACGACAGAGGATGAGATGGCTGGATGGCATCACCGACTCGATGGACATGAATTTGCATAATCTCTGGGAGTTAGTGATGGACAGGGAGGCCTGGCGTGCTGCAATTCATGGGGTCGCAAAGAGTCCGACATGACTGAGCAACTGAACTGAACTGAACTGAAGCACCTTAACAGCATCTTAAGACAAATAAGAAAGATGCCTCCTCTCACGGGCATCTTAGGTTCTGTCCTGAAGCTCCCACGGTGAGGCCACGCCTCACTCATCCCAGCAGCTCTGCCCCCATCAGCACCACGTCGTGGGGCAGGACTGTGCAGTGGGTAGACGTGGGGGTGCCCAGACAGTTCCTCTGCTATGAGTGTGCTAAGAGGTAGGAATAAAACCTACCTGTCAGAGATGTCATCAGGTCACAATGGAAATGCAAGCCCCCTCACTACGTTGGAATCAGAAAAATGTGAGAATCCCTATGACGTCTTAATTCTCAGATCATGGCGTGCCTTTTCACCCCTCAGAAATGAAACCATGCCCTGTAAGGCTGGCAGAAGTGTTACTCGCTCAGTCGTGTCCGACTCTTTCTGAACCCGTGGACTTTGGTCTGTCAGGCTCCTCTGTCCATGGAATTCTCCAGGCAAGAATACTGGGGTGGGTTGCCATGCCCTTCTCCAGGGGATCTTCCCGACCCAGGGATCAAACCCATGTTGCCTGCATTGGCAGGTGGCTTCTTTCACCAGTGAGCCACCAGGAAAGCTCAGGCTGACAGAAATCGGTGATCCACAGAAATTCTGGGGCTCATACCACAGGACAGCAGGTAAGGAAACAGCTTGTTAAAACCCCTTCCCTCGGAAGCTGCCTTCACTGACCGAGCTCATCCTAATTGTTTTTGGACTCCTTAATGGTCCCCTATAGATAATGCCTCTGACAAATGGGTCACTGTAGTAATAATGCTGGTTCCTCAGTCATGTCCAATTCTTTATGACCCCATAGGCTGTAGCCCACCAGGCTCCTCTGTCCATGGAATTCTCCAGGCAAGAATACTGGAGTGGGTGGCCATTTCCCTCTCCAGGGGATCTTCCTGACCCAGGGACTGAACCCAGGTCTCCTGCACTGCAGGCAGATGCTTTACCCTCTGAGCCACAAGGGAAGCTTGCAGTAAACATGGCGTAAGTTGTTTTCCAGGACTTGGAGTCAGTCCCTGTCCAGTTCAAGCTGGCTAAGACAGATTGGGACCACCAACCCTAAAACTCAGCCTGCACGAGGGTTCAGTGCATGACCTTTTGATATCAGAAAACTCCACCTTCTGGTCATGCTAGTGCCTCCGTTTTTGGACATGCATCCCATGACTAAGCCCATAAATCAGACACGCTGGTACAGAGTGCCAGCTACCTCACCTTTCCCAATTGCAGTCACCTTTCTCCACACTTAAGACCACCCTGTTTCTCTACCCCACAAAGACTTCAAGCCCCTCGCCTTCAGGAGGCACATTGGAGATTCATTCTCCCGTCTCCTCACTTGGCTATCTCATGAGTAAATGCCTTCTCTGATGCAAACTTCAGCATCTTGGCATTTGGTGATGCTTGCTGCACATTGGACAAATGAACCCGGTTCCATAACAGAAATGCTTATATCTATGTATTTATATTGTACACAGAAAATTTAAAAAATAAAAAGCTTATCAGTCATATCATTTACCATGAGAGGTGAATAACAGGTGTATGTGTGTGTGTGGTGTGTGTGTAGCAAGAGAACCAACAGTAATTACTGCAAAAAAGAAGAGAAAGAGATGGAGACAGAGAAAAAGAAGCAAGGGATGGAGGGAGGAAGGAAAGAAAGTAAAAAGACGGAGGGGGAGGAAGAGGAAGGGAAGGAAGAAAGGGAGGGAGGGAGGCAATGATCTCGGTCCCTGTCTCTCATGGCTCTGTAAAGCCCACAGATCCATTATAGATGCTTAAAGACAATAGGCAAAAAGACCCTAAGTCTATGATAGCTATTTTCACTTTACATTGAACAGAAGGAAATGGTCAAAAGGAGACTTTGCACTTGGGATATAGAGGAGAACGAAAATTTAGTCTTATTCAGACCCGGTTTCCATATGATACGTGAGTCAGTCAGTTCAGCCACTCAGTCGTGTCCGACACTTTGCAACCCCATGAACTGCAGCACACCAGGCCTCCCTGCCCATCACCAGCTCGCAGAGCTTGCTCAAACTCATGTCCATCAAGTCAGTGATGCCAGCCAACCACCTCATCTGTCGTCCCCTTCTCCTCTGGCCTTCAATCTTTCCCAGCATCAGGGTCTTTTCCAAAGAGTCAGCTCTTCACATCAGGCGGCCAAAGTATCGGAGTTTCAGCTTTAGCATCAGTCCTTCCAATGAATATTCAGGACTGATTTCCTTTAGGATGGACTGGCTGGATCTCACGCGTAATTCTCATTTAATTCCATGAGTATCAATGCACCAGGTATATTAACAAAAGAAGACTACATCTTTTCTGCACAAAATCATTCTCTGGGGTTGCTTCTGTTTAATCAGCACTGAGGGAAATGTGGCAATACCTGTTCACTGATGGAGGACCCTGGAGTGGCCACAGTGGGTGAAGGTGGGGAAAGAAAAGCAGAAGCAAGTCTGCGGGACAGGGCGCTGAGGGGCCCTGGGCTACTCGGGAGGGACATGCAGGGTCCAGGCAAGGGTCTCTGGCTGCTCACAAGACAATGACAGCCGTGGTCTTCTCCTTGGAGGGGGAGGGAGGCACTGAATTCTCCCCCAGCAGATTCCTCTCTGATCCCTCCTCATCCTGCTGGGAAAAAAAAAAACACACACACAGAGGAAGAAAATCAATTCTCAGGAGGAAAAGGATGGGACAGAGTCAGCTCCGTTTGGAAATCAGGCAAAGGAAAAAGGAGGGAAGGAAAAGGTGATGGAAGAAGGGGAGCGAGACAAGATCTAGGCCAGAAAAGAGAGAAAGTGGAGAACTGAGAGCAAAGAAGTGGGGGAGGCAGATGTTAACCCAGGACGAAGTGCTGGGGTCACCTTCCCGAGACAGCGAAGGGAAGGGCTGAGTGAGGGGAACATGACCACTGCTCAGCCGTGTTCCTGCCCCGCTGTCTTTCCCTAGGGCCACACTGGCCAGACTCGCCCTTTCGCTGTGTGACGTGTCTGACTCTTTGTGACCCCGTGAACCGTAGCCCGCCAGGCTCCTCTGTCTCTGGGATTCTCCAGACAAGAATACTGGAGTGGGTTGCCATTTCCTCCTCCAGGGGATCTTTCTCCTTAACAGCTCACCAGGGCTCGGGAGTTCTGGCCACAGAAGCTTCGAAGACCCACGCCCAGGGAAGCCAAGGACACAATGACCTGCAGGATACAGATAGCCAGGAGCAGAGCACGGATTCCTAGGAACAGATCCTGAAGATAAAGGGGAAAAAAAAGTTACAGTCAGGAGTCAGCTCCTGTGATTCCTCTGTTACTCTCATCTTGCTAGGAGGTATCTACGTTAGTCTATATCTAGGTCATCTTGCTAGGTTAGTCTGTTCAACTAACTCCTTCTCACCCAGAAGCAGACTGCATTTTCCAACCACAGGAGCAGCCAGTCTCCATCCCATTTGCTTACCTGCAGGGTGACCTTACCACGCCCTGTGAAGAGGTAGAGACTATCACCCAACTCCCTGGAATCTGGAATCAAAGCCTGGGAATCAAAGCCTGGGAATGCTTTGATCAATGAAATACAGTGGAAGTGACTCTAGGGCCTGGCAGCTTCCATTGCCTACGTCTTAAAATGCTCACAGTGGGACACTGCATATTGTAACCCGGTTGCCCAAGCCACACGGAGAAGCCATTGTAGCCTCCCTGGCTGATCCCTCCCCCCACCCCCCCACCCCCGCTGAGCCCCCTGACATGTGAGTGCGCCATCTTGGCAGTCCAGCCAATCAAGCTCTTGGATGACTTCACACCCAACTGACCCATGACTGCAACTGCCTGAGAAAACCCAAGTGAGGACTGCCCGTGTGAGCCTCGTCAGCCCACAGAATGTGAGACATACTAACCAACTGCAGTAGTAAGTCACTGCCTTTGGGGGCGGTGTGTTCCCTGGCAGGGGATGAGTGACAGCAGTCACACATCAGGAAAGACAGAAGGGTGGCTCACGACATCCTGTCTCCTCTTTGCTCCTCATCCCCTTTGATTCAGGGAATGATCATGCCCCGAGATCTGAACGGTGTCTTCAATTTAAGTTAAAACCTCCTGAACCAACAACCTCAGATGACGTCCATGCTCAGAGGGCCTCCATCTCTGCCCTCTGATGCCCCAGTCCCCCAATTTACAGCTGTGATGTGTTCTTAGAAGACTGACTCTCCTTTCTCACCATCAGCATTTGCATGTATCTTCTGCAGTTCTCCTCCTCCCACGATGAGTAGGAACTTCTTCGTTGGTACCAAGAGGTGGGGGTGACAGGGACTAAGGAATCACACACAGAGCTGATGTCGTCGAAGCCATCACCTTCCCAGATGAAGCTATTCACACAGAAGACGACAGCAGCCACGGCCGTGGCAATGCCAGCCAGAGTGAGCAGACCTGATACGCAGCCCTAGAAGAGAGAGGTTCATGAGGCAGTCCACCTCCATGCATGGCAGAACCGTGGGGTCCCGGGCTCAAACCAACCTCCTCTTCCCCAGCTTCCTGGCCTGGGATAAACCCTCCCTACTCCTCCAGGAAAGATCTTAGGATATTTGAAACCAAAGGAGAGAAGACAGAAAAATAGAGCAGGAAAACAGAGACGTGATAGGGGGACAGAGGGCAAGGTGGGGCAGAGGATGCCTGGCTCACTGAGATTTTGCCCCGGCGCTTCTCGTGGACAATGGCCCCAACTCCTGCTGCAACGGCCTAGGGAGAGAAGACACCAGAAAAGCCCTCCAGTTGCCCGTCTCCCATCACACTTCTCCCAACAGGCCCCAGAGCAGCCAGTTTGAAGCAGGATCCAAGAGCCAGGCAAAGGAACCTAGCAGACAGACAGGACTCCACTCACAACTGCCTGACTCTCCCCAGCCATGCCTTTAAGAGGAAAACGGAGGGTGGAAGGGTTTTGCCCACCCCCTAAGGCAGCCTCCTCATCTTTGTTGTTCAGTCACTAAGTGGTGTCCGACTCTTTGCGACCCCATGGACTACAGCACGCCAGACTTCCCTGTCCTTCACCATCTCCCGAGCTTGCCCAAACTCATGTCCCGTCGAGTCGGTGGTGCCATCCAACCATCTCATCCCAGGAGCCTCCTCATAACATAAGGCATTTGGTCGCTGGGTCTGTGGTCTCTTCCCCTGATCCCTGACCCAGATCCAGAGGAACTTTCTTTCTCCTTGTCCATGACCACGTGCCTCCCAAGGAGCTCACAGCCCTTCCCTCCCATCCAAGTACTAGCCAGGCCCGACCCTGCTTAGCGTCCGAGGTCAGACGAGATCGGGCGCGTTCAGGATGGTATGGCCGCAGACTCATCACCCCTTTCTTACTCACCACAGACCCTGCCCACAAGGCACAGCCCGAGGCCCGCAGCTGAATCCAGGGTCCCAAGTAGAGAAGGCCTCCAAGGGCACAGCTGATAGCCCCGAGCAACAGCTGGGTCACCCGCACGAGATGGGGAAAGCCACGCCCCTTCCCATGAGCCCACGTGCTCCGGGCACAGCCCCCCAGCTCCCAGCTCCTGGGCGTGGCTCTCCTCTCTTGCCCCGCCTCGACTTCTCTGCTTGAATTCTGGAAGCTCTATCCAGGAAGCAGTGCATCCTGCTTCTCCCTCACCCCTCTGACTTGACAGCATTTTATCCTTCATTCTTTCCTAAATCCCAGTTTTCCCAAATACCACACCTTGTCATCCCACTTGATGCTTCCTGCTTCTTTTCTCCTCTTTTTCCCATGGGAAGCCCACCATCCTGTCCAGGATGGGCCACAAAGACCTCCTTCCAGAAAGGAGTGTGGTTGGCTGACAGCCTGGGCTTCCCTGGTAGCTTAGACGGTTAAGAATCCGCCGGCAATGCAGGAGACCGGGGTTTAATCCCTGGGTCTGGAAAATCCCCTGGAGAAGGGAATGGTCACCCACTCCAGTATTCTGGCCTGGAGAATCCCATGGACAGAGGAGCCTGGTGGGCTCCAGTCTACGGGTTCGCACAGAGTCGGACAGGACTGAGCGACTTGCACACTTCACTAGCTGATAGCCTGCAATGGTCAGCATCTTCGGGGTCCCCTCGTCTTTCAATCTGAAGGCACGTTCTTTAGGGATGGCTAACCAGCAATGATTAAGCAAGGCGGTGGTTCGAGGGCCATTTCCACCTAGAGCAGGACTCCTGTAATGGGCAGCCTTTGCTCCCAAACTCCCTACTGGGCTACAACAGACCTCATCAGGCCTCCATCAAGATCTCCTCTCTCCCCCTGCCCACTCCTGCCCTTTCCACTGCATGATGTTACACCCCAGTAAACCTTTTGCACACCCAGCTCCCCACTCAGTGTCTGTTTCCTGAAGGATCTGGCTATCACAGCTTCTTGGACATCACCACCTACCTGGACATCATCACCTACATGTCCTGCCAGCCTCTCAGATTCATCACGTCCAAATGCCAGACCCCACCCCCCACACCCCCAGGGTCTGCCTCGCTGACTTCCAGGGCTCCAGTCTTCTGGTCACCCTCACTCCAAACCTCAGCATCCTCTCAGACTCCTCTCCTCCCTGGTACCCCAAGTCCACCCACTCCCAAGTGACCCCACCCACCGAAGACTTGGACTCCTCTCTCTCCTCATCATTTTTGCTGTTGCCTCACAGGTGCCGACCCTCCATACTTCTTACCTGGACACCACCTGGCTGGGAGGCTGCCTGAAGCTCAGGTGCCTGCCCCAGAATCCCTCCACATCCAGTCCTTCCCACCATCGAAGCTGATCCACGACAAACTCCTCAGCTAGTCACTCAAGGCTCTCAGCAGTACTGGTGTATATTTCCAGTCTAATCAGCCAGGAGTCTCATTCTCTTTACTCTGACAGAACCTGCTTTATGCTTTCTGGCTTCTTTGCCCTTGTTTTAGGCGTTCTCGAAACCTGAAATTCCTTTCCTCCCATCCTCCACCTCTATCTGTTAAACACATTTCTTCTCCATTCAATGTCTGGCTCAGATGCCATCCCCTGCAGGAGGCCCTCTGCAGGAGGCCGTCCAGTCTTCCAAGCATGTTACCTGTTGTTGTTCAGTCGCTCAGTCATGTCCAACTCTTGCAGCCCCATGGACTGCAGCACACCAGGCTTCCCTGTCCATCACCAACTCCTGGAGCTTGCTCACAAGCTCATATCCATTGAATCAGTCATGCCAAACAACCATCTCATCTTCTGCTGCCCTCTTCTCCTTTTGCCCTTGATCTTTCCCAGCATCAGGGTCTTTTCTGATGAGTTGGCTCTTCGCATCAGGTGGCTACCTGATCTACCTTTACCTCTAGGTGTTTGTGTAGTTGCCTGACCTTTCTGAGGGAAGCTGAGCACCTTGAGGTGATTACCGAGGGATTCTGGCTTAAGTCTTCCCCCCAACGTGCCTATCATATCATCTGGCATCTGTAGGCCCTCGGTCCACATGGGTTCAACAGCCTCCAGCGATACTTCCACCCACCCACCCTACCTCTGGCTGGGACTACTCACATTGCACCAGAGAAATGATCCCTTACTTCTTTCCATCTCAATCTTTGTGTTGAAACTTCCAAACAGGTGGGGATACAAATTGTGAGTTTTCATGGGGATTCCACCCACTTTCTTTTCTCACATCATATTGGAGAAGGAGCATTACCTACCTCTGGGTCACCTTGCTAACCCACCTCTCCAGCCAACCCATTCTTACCCCTAGTGCCAGCTGTCCATAGCCTATCCTGGCCTTGGCAGGACGGTGAGACAGGCGCTCCACCAGGGAACTCCCAGCTTTTAGCAGTTGAGCCAAAGTGGATTCCTGGTGGATGTGGATGTCAATGTGTGTGGGCTGGGAGAGCATAGAGCCCACATCAACTCCATTCACAGTCAGCATGTTCTGGGCCATCCTTCCTACTGGGGAGATGTACAGGAGTGAGGTCTGAGAGCGGAGGAAGAGGAAAAGGAATACACAGCACGACTGCAGGGAAAGAAAATAGTCTCCTTGTCAAGTCCCTGCATGTGGGATCTCAGTTCTTTGACCAGGGATTGAAGCCATGCCCCAGCCTAGAAAGTTCAGAGTCTTAACCACTGAACCACCAGGGAAGTCCCTGATCTTAATTTGGAATACAAATCTGAATCACCTGTAGAGTTTTCACTGTATGTATTCTGTGGTCTCTTCCCCAAATGGTCAAACACAGTTTGTCTGGGGCTTGGGATTAACAAAGAAAGGAATCTGAATTATTTTAGCAACATGGTATATATATTTACACATAATACTTTTATATGGTTAAAAAAAATCAAAAGATAAATAAGTGTATACTGCTAAAATCCTCTGTCCTATGTTACTCTCCTAGCCAGCTAGTTGCCTTCCAGCAGAAAAATATTACCATTTTCTAATATGCTTTCTGTGACTATTCCAATCCACTTCTGTGACTATTCCAGTATTGTTAATTCTCCCACTATGACTGAGGTTGACTTTCTTTTCATGTTTAAGAGCCTTTTTCCTCTTCTTTGGTGAGCTTCCCTTTCATATCCTATGACGGCCTTGTTTTCTTGTTTTGTTTTGGTCTTTACAGGAGTTCTTTGTGTGTTTGAAAAATTACCACCTGTGACATGACTTGCAGATAGGGCTTTAATATCTGTAATTTATTTTTGACTTAGCTTGTATTTTTATATATAATGAAATTTTTCAGTCAATTTGTATGATCTCTGGGTTTTATATCGTACTTAAAAAGGACTTTGAGATGTCAAGATCATGAAATAATAATTCTTTCCTGTTTTCTTCTAAGTGCTTTTATGTTTTCAGTTTTCACATTTAAATGTTGATCTATCTGGAACTTACCTTGTAAGCTGGGAAAAATGGATCCAAATTGGTTTTGTTTTTTTCAGATGCTAAACTTCTGAAAATATATCCTGTTTACGGAATGCGTCATCTTTCTCCCACTGATTTAAAATATTCCCTGGAGCAAAAATGAAATTCCCATAGGAAACCAAGCCTGTTTTAGCCTCTAACCGGCCCATTGGTGGATCTGATGAGTCATGCACCATGACCATAATTTTAACTATGAATACGGAGTTTAATATTTAGTTGAGCTATTTCATTGACCCCCTCACCATCTTACTTTTCTCTTTGATGGTCACTTTTGCTAGATTACTTCTCCTTGCATATTTTGGAATCAACATGCCTCATGCCAAAAGAAATCCCCTACAAGCAATTCTCATGGTCATCCTAATGATCACTGTTTAAATCAGAGCATTATTAATAACTATTCTAATAACACCAGCGAGGACAATAAACTTAAAGTCTTCCCATCTGTATTGTATGAGCTTCTCAGAGCAGCTTCACGCTTCACCTACCTGGCCTCCTGTGAAGGATACAAGTCTGATGTCAGACAATTGTGCAGATGTGCGAGGAGGTTCAGACCTGTTCACAGACCCATGCCAGGAAGCCTAGTCAGGATTCTAGCTGGATCATCCTTGGGCTCCAGGAATCAGCATCATATTGAGGCCCAGAACGTGCCTTAAGCTCCTGCTGCCTCCAAGTCCTCTGGGTACCACCTCTTTCCCACCCCACCTTCCAAGTCCTCTGGGTACCACCTCTTTCCCCCTCCACTGTCCCCAAGTCCTCCAGGTACTGCTACCTCCCCCCTCCACCTCCGTCCAAGTTTCTGGGTACCAGCACTTCCCCCCCACCCCTCTCCAAGTCCTCTGGGTACCATGACATCCTCCCCCCTCCACCCCCAAGTCCTCTGGGTACCATGACATCCTCCTCCCTCCACCCCCAAGTCCTCTGGGTACCATGACATCCTCCTCCCTTCACCCCCAAGTCCTCTGGGTACCACCACCTCCCCCCTCCACCGCCAAGTCCTCTGGGTACCACGAACTCCCCCCTCCATCCCCCCAAGCCCTCTGGGTACCACCACTTCCCCCTTCCATCCCCGCTCCCAACTCCAGTCCCCAGATCAGCCTAGATTCCTGCTCTTCCTCAGAGCCAGACCAGTCCCAGGAAGGTTCCCTTTCACACCCACCCTGACTCCAGGCTATGGAGCTCTTCCTCACAGCCCTGGACCCTCCTCTCTGCCCGGCTCCTCCCTGTTCCTCCTCAAGCAGTAGAGAAAGGGCCAGGGCCCAAGCTATACCCTGGGCCCTCCACCTTCCACCTTTCCTACCAAAAGACCTCTTACCGCGAACCCTGCTTAGCCTCAGCCGCCTCACCCCTGGAATAGAGGCATGAGGCACTAGGGAGGGACAGCCACCCAGTTGATGTGGCCAGACACGGGCTCCCAGCCCTCCCCAGGCATTTTTCTAGGGTCCCATCCTCTCACTAATGTATCCCTCCCTTCCAAGCAGGTCCTAGAGGAACCAGGAACCAGGGATAATGGCATCCTGTGAGACAGGATGGGGGCTTTGGGGACTGGTCTTGGAGCCTCTTAGAGAGAGTTGGGGGGTGGGGTCTGGCAGTGAGCGTCTCCTAAGAGGGGGGATTGCCTAGGCTATGAAGGCTCCTGCTCACCTGCTGTCCTCTAGGAGCCAGCGGCCGAGGCAGGCAGAGCTGGGAGGAGCTGCCCAGAGCTGAGACCCGCTGGGGGGTGGGGGAGAGCAGAAGGAAGGGGTGGAGTGATGAGGACCTGACCTTCAGCATCTTGACTTCACAGAAAGAGGCTGGGCCAAAGGGGCCCCTCTAGGGGGGATTTGGTAGACAGTCAGGCTGGCTGGAGAAGGCAGAGAACACACACACACACACACACACACACACACACACACCAGCACGTCCACGCCTACTCAGACAGCACACACACTGGGGGAATCCTTGATCAGAAAGCCCCTGCCCTAGTGGGGATGGGAGACAGAATGGCCTCTTCGGGTTTCCCCAGGCTGGTCAGCTCTTAAATCTCCCAGGCCACCCACCTGGCCCTTGCGCTCTCCTGGATGCCGGAGCCTGGCTTTCCCGGCAGCTGGAAAGCCTTGGAGGGGCCCTGTGCTCCAGCCGTGCGCTGGGACATTGCCTCATCCTTCCCCGCTGGCACTCCACCAAGTACCTCCTGCTTCTGCCCGGCTCGGGTCTCCCCAGCCCTGACCACCACTCTCCACTGCCGGTCCCTGAGGAGAGCAGGTGAGGCAGGTCCATAGCCTGGGCGGAGCGGGGGGCCTTTCCCCCAAGACCCTTCTCAGAGGAGGCCCCACCCTGCCTCCACAGGCCCTCCAGAACTTGCTGGGCAGGGAGAGAGGGAGGGGCCAACCTCCCCTGCAGAGGACGGGCCTCCAGGACGGTGCAGAAGTCGGGGGCCAGATGCATTGATGCCAAGTCATTCCCACCTTTGGTCTCTGTCTCCTTCATGGCTTCATCCTTCATGCTGGGTTGGTGGGGCTGGGCAGGGCGGTGGGGGGCAGGGGGGGCGGGGGTTGGGCAGTTAGAACAGGACTGAGGAACCATTGGTGGGGAAATATTTAGGGGTTGCTGGAGGGTTCCCAGACTCAGCTAGGGAACAGCTGCTTCCAGAGAAGTTCAGCAGGCAGCCAGGACTCGGTTCTGCTCAGCAGCCTGGGAGCTCCCGAGGGGAAGAGGCGGAGAGAGGAGCCGGGGGCGGGGGGGCTGGGGTGGCACAAGCCTGGCCTGCTGGGGGCAGAGGGGAGAAGTGAGAACTCTGGGATACAGCCTGGTCCAGCCCCCAAGGTGATGGGAGGAGGATGGAGGGAAGGTCTGGGGTGAAGGGAGGCCCCATGGACCGAGCAGTGGTCCCAGCCTTGGGAGACTCGAGCATCCTTCACGAGATGCCCCCTCAAGACAGGTCCTGGGTGCTGCTCTGTGACCCGGGGGGGGGGGTCTCCGCCAGCTCCTGTGGAATCCGTGCCAACCTCCTCCTGCCCACTCTTCGCCCCTGATGCTCTCTTCCTCCCCGCCAGACAGGTGTCGAGAGGCATGGAGACGGTGGACCGCGGGGAGGAGGCCCCCAGGGCTCCCCAGCCCGCCTACATCCAGGTGCACTTCCACCACGAGTCAGGTCTGGCCAAGCTCCTGCTAGGTGGGTGCTCCCTGCTGCAGCCCCTCCTCCTGCCCAGGCCCCGTGCCACCTCCCGGGCCCTGGGTCGCCACCGGCTGCTGCTGACCTCCTGGGTGAGTAATGCTGAGGGGCGCAGACGGGAACCTAGGCTCCCCAGACCTGGAAGGGGAAGCCCCTCTCCTCTCACTGTGCATGCTCCCTGCCAGTCTCGCTCTTAACAGGATGCTAAGCCAGCCTTATCTTCTAACCAGAGACCAAGTTCCTACTTTCCCCCCCATGCCCCCACCTACCTCTCAATGGGAGCTGTAGGTAGGGTAGGCTATGGGCTGAAGGGCACAAAGGAGCCCCTGACCATTTAAAGTCCCAGCTGGGGGAGCCCTGAGCTCATCCTCTCCCCCCCCCCTTGTCCTCCTCTCCTCTGCCTTCCTTTCCCACCTTGTTTTTCCTCTCTCTTTCATGAGGTTCTGTTAACACCTGGAGTGGCAGGTCTCCCCAAAGCTACCCTGAGACTTAGGCACAGAGGGCTGCTCCCAGGAACCATGTGCTTAGGTTTCTCATCTTGCAGGTGGTGCAGATCGTGCTGGGGCTGCTGAGTGGGATCCTGGGAGGATTCCTCTATATCTTCTCCTCCACCACCCTGCGGAATTCGGGAGCTCCCATCTGGACGGGGGCTGTGGTGAGTGAGGCGGGAGGGTGGTGGACAGAATGGACCCAAGGAGAGAGAGACCGTTACCATCGACCCCATCAAAATGTGGACTGTTAGCACCCGAACACACCCCCGGCTCCTCCAGGCCGACGCCCTGCTTCTACAGACAGGCAACCAGCCGAGCAAGGGCTGGGAGGGCCACGGTCGCTGGTCAGCTCTCCCAGGTCCCTGCCCGGGGCCTACCCACCGCTTCTCCCACCTTCAGCAGGAGATCAGCTGAGGATCTTGGGGCGGGCTCATCTCTAGACGCCGGCACTGCTTTAAGATGGGGAGGCAGGACGTGCCGGAGGGTGTGCAAGCCAGGGGCACCTCCTGGTGGCTTCGCATGGTCCTCTGCGGGTCCTGCACACCGGGCTCCCGGGGGAGGGGGGATCCCTGGACCACAGTGGTGATGTCGGCAGAAGGGGGTATGCCACCTGCAGCAGGAGATGGGGGGGCAGGTCATGGCAGGACCAAGGCACCCCGTGTCCTGCCCACACTCACAGAACAACAAAGCACACGTATGAAGAGAGGAGTCAAAAGTAACCATCCTCACCCACCCCACGGCAAAAACACACTGAGATGAGCTACAACATTGCCAAACAGGATCCTGATCCATCTGTCCTCCGGGATCGACCAGGCTTCGTGTCCTGGAAGCCCCGCTGGGTGGGAGACTGAGCGCCGTTGGAATGGGCGCCCACGCCCAGTCGGAGATGGCTGATCCTCATCCTGTACCGAGAGCTCCTCCAACAACCTGGACCTTCCACCCCACCACCCTGGAGCTTTCGTAAAGCCCCTGGTGCTGCCTCAAAAGAGAGAGTTTGGAGAAGGGAAGGAGGGCTCACTCCTGGCTTGACCATGAGCATTTGTCTAGTGTCCCCTAAGTAGGGGACATCCTGTAGGACTCAGGAGTTTTAATTCAGGCCTCAATACTCTCCCCGTGATCTTACAGACCACAGACCTTGGGCCTGTGTGGAGTGTTGTGGGGAAGGGCCAGCTAGATGGCTGAGGGAGTCATGGAGGAAAAAGGAAGCAGGCAGCTGGGGAGGGGGCAGGGGATAGGGGAGTTGGGGGTTCTGCACGAACCCAGCAGCTTCAACCTCTCCCCAGGCTGTGCTGGCTGGAGCTGTCGCCTTCATTTACGAGAAACGAGGTGGCATCTACTGGGTGAGTTGGGGAAGGGCAGGGGTTAGCACCAGGCCCAGAAGTTGGAGGCCTTCCCAAGCATCCCGTCCGGCTCCATCACACACTCTCCCCTGGGCTCCCCCCCCGCCCCACCTCTGACCCCTGGCTGGGTGCCAGAGAGACTGAGTCTCCAAGGTCTCTCTCTGCATCCGCTCCTCACCAGGCCCTGCTGAGGACCCTGCTCGCCCTGGCAGCCTTCTCCACGGCTACTGCCGCCATCATCATCGGGGCTGGAAGATTCTATGAGTACCACTTTATTTTCTATAAGGGCATCTGTAATGTCTCCTCCTCCTGGAGGCCCACCGGGGCCCCCAGCCCCTCGGGTCCAGAACTCGGGAGGCTGCAGCAGTGCACCGCTTACATGAACATGCTGAAGGTAGCCGGGCAGGGGACACATGGCAGCTGACGGGGGACAGGGTGGGGGAGTCTGACCCTGGATAGGAGGGAAGCCGTCCATCAAAGAGGGTGTAACCTGTTCTGCCCCGACAGACAGACATGGCAGTGAACAAAATACAAGCAGTCCCTGCGGTTTGTGGGCATTACAGATCCGTGGGAAATACAGACGTCAAAATCAGAATAAATGAGCCGATAGAGCTAATATTGAACATACGGGAAGGGGTGTGAAGGGGTTCAATGCCCGTTCAGGTCTTGGGGTTGTCAGGGAAACGGATCACAGCCCAAGCCTGTCCCTGTTCTGATGAGGACACCAACGGGGCTCCTGGCTGCTCTCTCCACGCTACACCCACAGATCCCCAACACAGGGCTCCTTCTTCATCCCATCCTCCCAACCCTGGAAGCTACAGACGTGGGGAATGGGATGAATGGCGTGGAGAGTGACCCTGTGCCGTGCGGAAGGGGGACACAGACTCCACGTGGCAACGGTCACTCTGGGGGCTAACAGCTTTGGTCCTCTGTCCCCAGGCCCTGTTCATAAGCATCAATGCCATGCTGATAGGGGTCTGGGTTCTACTGCTTCTGGTGTCTCTGCTGCCCCTGTGTCTGTGCTGCTGGAGAAGATACAGACGTAAGGAGGTGAGTCCCTAAACCTCACGTGGTGTGGGCAGCAAGGCTGTCCGGCAGGAACAGGAATGGAGAGTGGGTGGTTTGGGGAGGAGAAAAGAGTCCTTACAGAGAGTCTCAATGGGCGTGATTCCTGTCTTTCTACCCCCGTGGTGGCCCAGCTCAGAGAGCTCTTATCCCTGACTAAGTGGTACCCAGTCCAAAGACCCTAGGGAGCCAAGGACACGTAGGTCCATGGTGGGACCTGGGGCTCTTTGCATGAGGCTGATGTCGAATCTGATTGACTCCAGAACTGAGCTGCCCTGGAGGAGAGCATTTACACTGTCCCTCCCCCGTGGGCTGTCTCACCCCCTCCTTTTCCCTTAGAAAAGAGACCTTCCCTTGGAAGAAACTGCCGGGAGTGAGTGAGATCCAGCCCTGCCTCTCCGGAGGACTCGTGCCTGGAGCTTCCGCCTGGACCGGGTATCCGAGCATCCTGGGAGAAGAGCCAGGCCCGGAAGAGAGGCCCTGTCTGCCCGGGTGATCCTCCCACACGGCCACAGCCACCACCTGCTCCACAGTCTCAGCTGTTCTTGCCTATTTCCGGCCCACCTTCACCACCTGCCTGCCTCATGCCCCTCTTGAGCACTGATGATAATAAACTCCTGTGTTGTTGCTCCCAGCTTCTTGCCTAGGGTATTTCTCTTGGCTGGAGGGAGACAGAGGAGAATGAGCCAACAGCAAAGCTAGGAAGATCCCCCCTACTCCCAACCCCTCTCTGGGGCTAGAATAACCATCCCTGAAAACAGAGTCTCTTTGAGGCTGGTACTGGGAACTGGGTGCAAATACCCAGGGATGGATGAAAGGAATGGAGACTCTGAGCCCGGCTCCCTACAATTCAGAGTTAAGAGGGTAAATCCTTGACCATTTGAGAGTTGGACTTTTTTTTTATTTTGACTGTTTGGAAATATTAAGAATTAGGTAAGATAACATCGAGATGCAATCATTTCAGAAATCTTTTTTACAAAGCTAGAACATCCAACAATGTGATTAAATACAAACCTTGGATACTTGTCCCACGAAAAAAAAAAGGGGGGCTTCCCTCACAGCTCAGTCAGTAAAGAATCTGCCTGAAATGCAGGAGACCGGGGTTCGATTCCTGGGTCAGGGAGATCCCCTGGAGAAGGAAATGGCAATCCACTCCAGTACTCTTGCCTGGAGAATCCCATGGACAGAGGAGCCTGGCAGGCTACAGTCCATGGGGTTGCAAGAGTCAGACATGACTTAGCGACTAAATCACTACCACCCACAAAGAAATATACCTATAACTTCTGGATAAAATAGGAGTCATGTGTTTTTAAATTCATGGCCAACCTGAATAAGCCGTAATAGAAGCAGGAGCATGAATTCAGAGAACTGAGTCTTGAAACCAGCATCTGCCCATTCGGAGTCCCACAGCTACCCACACGCTCAGTGCGCCACTTGAAGGAACGAACTCCACATCGAGTTGTACTCACGGCTGAGTTTTATTAGAACAAAAGGATACACAGCAGTGTCAACAAGGGGAAAGGATTCTCAGAGAGAGGAAGCACACAAATACAAAGCAGGGTAAATAGAATGAAATTATCATCTAAACACATTAAAATAAATTTTTTAAAAAACAAAGAGAATGTCTTAAATCCATCAAATGGCATTAACTAAAAAGAAATTGCAACATTATATGACTCCCTCTTGTCTGCTGCTGCTGCTAAGTCACTTCAGTCTTGTCCGACTCTGTGTGATCCCATAGACAGCAGCCCACCAGGCTCCTCTGTCCACAGGATTCTCTAGGCAACAATCCTGGAGTCTAGTTGAGAAAAGAACTAAAGATATTGATTATATTTAACCTTTGTCACACATGATGTTCAACATTGCAAATTACTAGAGAAATGTAAATCAAAACTACAATGAGATATCACCTCACAGTAGTCAGAATGGATATCATCAAAAAGTCTACAAATAATAAGTTTTTGAGAGGATGAAGAGAAAAGGGAAACTTCCAACACTTTGGTGGGTATGTAAGTTGGTGCAGCCACTGTGGACACAGTATGGAGTTTTCTTAAAAAAAACAAAAATAGAGCTGCCTCATGACCCAGCAATCCCACTACTGGACATATATGTGGAGAAAATTCTAATTCAAAAAGATACATGCCAATAAAAAAGAAAAGCTACAGATGTGCAAAATGATAAATGCACCCCAATATTCATAGCACTGTTTATAATAGCCAACACATGGAAGCAACCTAAATGTTCATGCCTCCAGCCTCGGCAGGATCCAGGGGTGCCCTCGGGATGAATGGCATTGGCAAGGGAAAGAGAGAGAGAGAGAGAGAGTGACCAGACAGGGGCTGCAGCAGAGTCTGGCAAATCTTTATTTTTTTTACCATAGCTTTTATATTCTAAGTTAGTACATTTTTAAGGGGAAGATAGTTTAATATTACATCAGTTTATCCTCCACAAAGCCAGGGAGTTTTCTGCATACTTCTTTGTGAGAGTCTTGTACATTATCTTCTGGCCATGGGGCCTGTTGACATTTTATGACCTAGGTGAATGCAAAGCTGTTTTCCGTAATCTATTCTTTAATGAACACAAAGGTCAGTCCTTTTGCAGAAGTTATCAGTTAAATTTATCTAAAGGGTTTACCACACAAAGACTCTGCAGCTCTGGTGAGGCAGCCCCTGTTTAACATTCCTGGTTAAAATTAACAATTCTGAACTCTTATTTTTCTAAATCTTTAACTCTAACCACTTTTAGAATAATATTTTTATGTTCTCTAATAGGGCTTCCTCACCCCCCGAAGGGCTCTGTGCCTATTAGGGCCTTTTGTGTGATCAGGTTCTTTATGCTGTTTATGATTAAGGTGTTGTGAGCAGTCATGTGCATCAGTATGCATTTGCTAAGCAGGATAGAATGCCAGCAAAGGGGTCTAAATTGAAACACTCCTTTCATCCTGGATAATCTTATAGGATACCACCATCTGGGGGACATATTGATTAAAGTTCTAAGTTGATTCTGTTTGGAGAGAGATCGGGGAAGGCCTTCTGCCTACATCACAGAAATTAGGGAGTAGTCTAATACAGCAAGCATCAGAAAGACAGAGATCATCTTTAAGGTGAGCACCAGGGCAGCTTTTCAAAATCCCTGAAGTCCTGATCCGCCTTGCCTGTCAGGTCTTCTCCTCATGACCTTGTCATGGGCGGGATCTCATGTGCTGGCTCCCGGCAGACAGATGACTGGGTAAAGAAGATGTGGTGTATATATATATATATATATATATATATATATATATATATATATATATATATATATAAAATATTTTATTTATTAGTTTATATATATACATATATATATAATATATATATATATAACTCAGCCACAAATAGGAATGAAATAATGCCATTTTCAGCAACATGGATGGACCTAGGGATTATCATATTAAGTCACTCAGACAGAGAAAGATAATGTCATATGATGTCACTTATATGTGAAATCTAAAAAATTATCCAAATGAACTTATTTATGAAACAGAAACAGATTCACAGACATGGAAAACAAACTTACAGTTATCAAAGGGGAAAGAGGGTGGAGAGAGATAGATGACGAGTTTGGGATTAGCAGATACAAACTACTACATATAAAATGGATAAACAGCCAGGCCCTACTATAAAGCACCTGGAATTATATTCAATATCTTGTAATAAACTATGTATGTATATACATGAGTCAGCTTGCTGTACACCAGAAGCTAACACAACATTGAAAATCAACTGGTGTTCGATAAAAATAAAATAGACAAAAAAAAAAAAAGAAAGAATAGAAATAATCTTACAATTTTAACTTTCAGTTTGGAGGAAAAAAATCAATCAGTGAAGATAATAATATTTTTTAAAGTGCAATAAATAAAAGCAAAAAAGTAGAAAATGACTATAAATTAAATTATATGAGGAACTGTGATAAATATGAATGGGCAAAATAGTCCATTTAAAGCACATAGATAGATTGTGTTTTTTTTTAATTCACCCATATACTATTTAAAAGGAGCATATCTAAAACAAAGATATGGAAAGATAGCAAGTAAGAGGATAGGGGGAAAGAGCTAACAATTAAATTGACACAGTGCCATTAAAATCAGACTTTCAGGCAAAGAGCATTCCTAGAGATAAAGAGGCCACTTGTAGCCATTATACAGTCAGGCTCTCCTTGCTTCTCACATTGCACTCATTCCCTCCTGGAATTAGGACCCTGTACCTTGCACTGGAGGAGCTGTCTTGTGGCTAAAAATTAAAGGCAAAGAAAAATCTTGAAAAAAGCCAGACAAAAATTACCAATTACCAGTAGAGAATCCAAATGACCCTTCTCATCAGAAACCATGATGACAAGCCAAGTTGCACAATATTTTTAAGATATATGTTTGTATTTATAGTTGGCTTTTCCTGGTGGCTTAGATGGTAAAGAATCTGCCTGCAATGCAGGAGACCCAGATTCAATTCCTCGGTTGGAAAGATTCCCTGGAGAAGGGAATGGCAACCCACTCCAGTATTCTTGCCTGGAGAATTCCATGGACAGAGAAGCCTGGTGGGCTATAGTCCATAGGGTCACAAAGAGTCAGACATGACAGAGCAACTAACACACAGTTATATTTAACATATGAACAATTTTGTGCAGCAACATTTCAGTGTGAGTAAAAAAGAAGCCAGTACACAGGAGTTTGGCAGGGCGTGGGGGGTGGTGGTGATGGTTTGGTCTTTGTCCTGATCATGGTACCAGTTACATGAATGTATTAAAATGCAAAGACCTGCACACAGAAAAACAAAGATCAGTTTTATTCTCATGATAATTCATAACGATAAGGAGACAAATTGGGGGTTATTTGTCCATCCCTATCTCAGCATCTCCAAGTCATTTCCAGATGTGTATACATTCACTCACCAAAAGCCAGACATCCTCAAGTGCAAAGTCAAGTGGGACTTAGGAAGCATCACTTTGAACATATCTAGTGGAGGTGATGGAATTCCAGTTGAGCTATTTCAAATCCTAAAAGATGATGCTGCACTCATATGACAGCAAATATGGAAAACTCAGCAGTGGCCACAGAACTGGAAAAAGTCAGTTTTCATTCCAATCCCAAAGAAAGGCAATGCCAAAGAATGTTCAAAACTACCGCACAATTGCACTCATCTCACACACTAGCAAAGTAATGCTCAAAATTCTCTAAGCTAGGTTTCAACAGTACCGGAACTGAGAACTTCCAGATGTTCAAGATGGGTTTAGAAAAGGCAGAGGAACCAGAAATCAAATTCCCAACATCCACTGGATCATAGAAAAAGCAAGAGAGCTCCAGAAAAACATCTACTTCTGCCTCATTGACTATGTCAAAACCTTTGACTGTG